GGAACCGGTTCTTAACAGGAACCGGTTTTCGATTCCCATCCCTAGTAACTATAATAATTACTTTTTCAAAGTAACGTGCCCAACAGTGTTGAAAGGTGAAGATGACCTGTTAAGGTTCAAACTGAGCCTCAGAATCAGGGGGAAAAAAACGCCGACGTTCCTCTGAATGTTCAGCAACTGTTTGTCAAAAAGACCAGAATCTGTCATTAAAGCCACGAGACCATTACCCCATTTACACTACCCTAAAAAACCGTGCCGAGACCAGTCCTAGCTCAGTAACTGAGATAACTTATTGTGTTGCAAACTGAACTGAACCGAGCTAGACACAACCGAACCGAGATAACTGCAGACCGGTTCCAGAGGTGGGCTCGGCTCGGTTCTCTGATAACAAGAGCGCATGAGCAGAACGCGTCATCTCCGTCTGGCTGCACGTAGCGATTCACACTCCATTCCAGTAGTTGGCGGTAATGCCCCTCGGAAACAGAAGAAGAACAACAACTTCTTCAACTATAAACAACAATCGAAATCTTCTCCACGCAACATTTTAAATAATGGCATTTTAAATAATAACACCAAAGTACAGCAATAATAATCAAGCATAACTTTCTGAATGTGACGGGCGCCGCCATTTTGATTTGCTTGATTCCCTCTGTCGCTACCCGATCCGTACCGGTAGCACGATCCGTACCATCAGCTCATTTGCGCCTGCGCAAACAGAATAACTTCCGGGTCGCCAAAAAATAATGTAATTACGGTACTGAAAAAACTTTTATATCCTTAAATAATTAAAGAATACTAAACTACACCGTAAAGACAATATTGAAGACTTTTCTGGAAGAAATGGATGTTTTTAAAATCAAATCCATTGTATTGCTTGACGTTATTTTTTCTGGAATAAAAGTCCAAATTTTCGGGAAATGTTCCCTTATCAATGAAAAACTGCAGGTCACGAAAGGTAGCAAATGAATCCATTGTGGGATCAGTACTGCTGGAGCGCATAGTTAAGTACAGAGTAAATCAAATATTTAAACAAATTTAAATATATACGCTGTGTGACGTATATTTGCGCATGCTCAGAGCAGTCAAAGTAACTATCACAAGGCGATTGAACTTTTTTATGTATTTCTGTTTTTTTATTTTTAGAAAATGCAATATTGACGAAAATACAAAGATAAACAAAAAGAAACCCATGCCTCTAAAAAATACAAAAGAATAAAAAAGTAAGAAAAAGGAAATATTGCCACCGGAAGTTATTCTGTTTGCGCACGCGCAAATGAGCTGATGGTACGGATCGAGTAATGACACCCTCCTTCTTCGTCTTCTTCTTGTGTTTTATGGCGGTTGGCAAACAACTTTTGGTGCATTACCGCCACCAACTGCTTGATTTCCTCCTTCTTCGTCTTCTTCTTGTGTTTTATGGCGGTTGGCAAACAACTTTTGGTGCATTACCGCCACCAACTGCTTGATTTCCTCCTTCAAAAGTGGCAGTAATACCGCAGATCGTCACTAGGAGGCGAGGAACCTAGATAGCGTGATGTGTAAACGGTCGTCAGAACCAAGCTCGGACCGGTCTCAGCATGGAGCGGTTTTTCAAGGGTAGTGTAAATGGGGCTAAAGACTGCCGGTGGTTCTGAGATTAAACAGGGGTTAAGGTTGTCGGCACCTTTTCTTTCGGTTTATTCCCTGGATTTATTGGCAGCTGCTTGGTGCTTCACCCATCGTTCTGTTTCAGGACGGGGACCTTTCCAGAAACATGCCGGGGAAGGTAAAGGTGTCGGCTCCAAACCTTCTGGCCGCCAAGAAGAAATGATCAGCAGATCCAGACCGGCCAAGTTCTGTTTTCACTGGTGGAATAAGAGTTTGTTTTCTTTCTAAAGATTGTTATAAATTCATTTGCCCAAAAAAAACAGAGACTTTTTTGTGTGTTTTTTTATTTGAATACAAACTTAGATTACAGACGAGTAATTTTGTGCAAACAAGGCGAATACAAACAAAGCCCAACAGAGAGAACTTTCAGTGCAACGCGGCTCGACGTCCTTCACGGTCGCCGGTACCGATCCAATCAGAACGCTACAGCAGCCACTTTATGACCATAAAGGCTTTAAACACCAACATAAATACAGATGAACACAAACAGGAGGCTCATTTCTGTGGATCTGGACCGGATGGCATTTAAAGCAGAAATCACTGCTTAGAGCTGAAGCTAATTAGCATCAATCAGCTAGCTGGTGCATCATTTACTCCCCTTTCTATCCAAAATAGATGATCACTTTTATTTATTAGTGTCAAGACAAACATTGGTAAGCTAATTCAATGTTTTATCGATGCGGTTTTCTTAGCTAGTTTCTCTTTAACTTAAAACACTTTTTCTCAAAACATCAAAGAGAATCTGCTCCTGGTTTCCAATCTGCTGAGGCTCCACTCGGCTGGTTAAACAACCTGCCGGTGCGTTTTTAAAGGGTTCAGCTCGTTTTCCCTCCCTCTGCAGTTTGAATTTTGTTTCACAGTAATAATTACAAAAGCTCCAGTGAATAAGGTCTACCTACGGGAGCTAAGCTGGTCGGATCAGGAAACACCACAGGTCACTTCTTTTTGTCCTAAAGGGAGACCAGAACCAAAATAAACAGCTGTGTTTTTTTTAAAGATAATATACAACTTAATGTGAAACTGGAGCATTTAATCTATAAATCCTGAACGGTTTGATTAAAGCATCGCTTTCCAAACAAACTTGGTGAAAGAATTTGAGCTTATCTTCATCTTAGCCTCTTTCTATGACTGTTTAATGAAGGAAGCTGTCGGGACGTTAAATTATCTCCACAGCAGCAGAATCGGCTGTTCTGTGGACGTTCTGAGGTTTTTAGTCTTTTTAACTCGGTCAGAGCTGCTGCCACCTAGTGGCCTGAGCTGGGCGCTTCCATCCTGGTGACAGAATGATTATTTACATCCAGAGGATCTGATCCCAGACCAGGCCTGATCAGCCATGTCCCAACAGCTTACTCCATCCTCAGGGCCAAACTGCTAACTCTTCCACACTTTGCCTCTCATTTTAATTCAAGTTTTCACATTAAAGTAACAGAACAGCCAGAACTATCGGCGTCTCATCCTGTGGTCGACCTCCAGTCCTAAGAGCCCAGAGTGTTGACCCGCGACATTCTCTGCTTGAGGCTGAGCAGGAGGTGTTTCGGCAAGCAGTCCCAGTGACAGGACAGCCTCTCCCTGTGCTGCAGAACCGTCTCCATACAGAACCTGGGGATCAGAGGGGGGCGGGGTTATTAAAGCCTCCAGCTGTACAGAGAAATCCATTTCCTGCTTCTCTAAAGACTCACCGAACCAGCGATTTGGGCTGGACGTTAAAAATCAGCAGCTCGTTGCTGTGAGCCTGCAAGAAACGGAAAACCAAATAAGAAGCAGTAACGCGAAGCAGTGCGTGATTCTGACGTGGCGCTCACCGCTCTCTGATGAGACAACAGATTGTTAGCACAGCCTCCGAACACAAACACCTCTCCGTCCGGTCCGGAGCACGCCGTGTGCCACAGCCTGAAGCACAGAGGGACCATCAGGCGGAGGCAGAACATCAGCACGGCTTCACAAAAGGACGGGACATTTACCTGGGGCTCTCCGTGTGGCTGTGCTTGAAAGGCTTCCATTCGTTCCTGCTGACGCAGTAGAGCCAAGCATCACCTGGAACAGCAAAGAGGAGCATTTCTGCAACGAGCGCAGCCATGAAACCGTCGCAGAAACACAGACGCCACGCCATAAACTCACTCAGTGTTTCCCTCTCTGTGGTGAAACCTCCAAACAGGAAGATGTGATCTGATGAGACCGGAGTAAAGGAGTGCCAGGATCGGCCCACGGGCCCCTGCTGAGGAACGCTCCTACAGGAACGCACACAGACAAGCTATGGGGTCAGATCACAGCCAAAAAAATGTACATCAATAAACTCAAGGTTTTTATTTTATCATTGTCAGCTCATTATTACACGTAAATCCATCTTTCATCTGTAAGAATAAAAGTTATTTGCTATAAATCAGGTTTTTAAACTTTGTTTTCCTGCTGATTTAAAATGGTCTTCTGTTTGTCTGTCGCATAAAGTCCAAAGAAAACTCAACAAGGTTTGTTTTTAAAATAAGGAAAAGTTTAAGGGGTAATAATGTTTCTGTTCACACTTTATATTATAGATGATTATTTGTCATCCTTTATAATAACCCTGCAGCCTGTTATATATCATATCAGCGCAGAGCACCTTCTGCCAAAGTGAATGATGGTCGCTTCAGTAAACTGACCTCCGTTCTGATCAAACACTGCAGGACTTTTTAGAGATTTTCAATCTGGGAGATCCAGAGCTTTGATCAAAGTCAGGAAACTTACATTTCATGCCACTCCCACGTCTCCAGGTCGATGTAGTACAGATCATTTAGTCTGTAGTTCTGGACATAAAAAAAACATGTCATTTCCCATCTGCAAGCTTCCCAAAAAGCTATTATTTTAAGCCTCAACATTATTTAAACACAAATTTAATATTTTCATTCAATTAAGTCTAAATAGATTGTCTAAAATCTAAAGTAAAACTGTCTAAAAAGGTCAGTTCTAATGTTTCAGAGGATAAAAAAAAAACAGGAAGATTTTATTAATCGGATTCTCAGACATGGAAAATAATCTGCGCAGATATGGGGTGTATTATGTTCCATTATTGCTGCAAATAACACATTTTGTAAACTGATATTTCAAACAATTAAATCTGTAAAACAAACAAAAAAAAACATATATTAAAAAGGTTTTAAGAGCAATTTGGCTGTTTTCTCATAATACTTTATTTTTTCAAATTTAAAACACATTTTTTTTTTTTTTCAAATTCCTCGTTATCAGACAGTTTTATAACATTTGTTTTTTACAGATCACATTCTGTTCACATCGAACCAAACCCAAACCCTCGTTCTTAACCAATGAAATATTTTTGCCAATCTCCATCCAGAAAAAAAAAACAGAATGTGAAGAACAAAATCTTTAGAAAAATAATTTTTTTTTTAAAGAAAAATAGAATTATAAAATTTAAAACCTTCAAATTTTTTATTTTTTTTTTACTGAGTTTTTCAAAGTTTCGTTTTGTTTGTTGCATATTTTTCTAATTTCCATTTACAACCCAATTTTTTGGAACAAAATTCCCTCCGTATACAGGAACCAAAGCTTTGTTTACCTTGAATCGGCCACCGAACACATATCCTCTGTTTCCGACTGTAGCGCAGGCATGAGCCGCTCTGGGGGACGGCGTGTTTCCCTGGATACGGACAAACCAAAGGAAAACAAACATGAATATAATTGCATATTAAACCATCATCATTCTCAAGTAAAGACTAAGACTTTTATTAACAAAAACTGTTAACAGTGGAAGAACATGAAGTAAAGCGCTTTGGTGATTTATGGAGAATTTTTTTTTTTTACAGATTTTATATTTTCAAATTTTATTCAAGTTTCATTTTTCCCCACTTTTTAATTTTTTTAATTTTTTTATTTTTTATTGACCTATTTTGAATTTCATTTTTAAGATTCAGTTTCAAGAATTGCGTTCTTTTTAAATTGCATGTAACAGATCACATTCTCTTTGCTTCTGGGGGTGGGCTTTCCTCTGTGTGGAGAAATGAAGAGAATGTGATCTATAAAACATAATTTGAACAATAAATAATAAAAAAAAAAACATAAAGTGTTTTTAAATAAAAAGAAAAAAAAATGTGGGGAAACGGGCAAAGTTTTTTTTCTCTTTTTTTTTGTTTTCAACAATAATGGAACTCAATTGTCTCCATAGAATCAGACCCCTCTACCTCTCATCAGCTTGAGTTAAACCCCCCATATCCTGTGCTGCATCACGGGTTGTGCAACAGTTTTACACATCGGACCACTACCAACATAACGAACCTATCTGCTGCCTCCTTGGTGAAGCTGAACGGCTGTTCTCACCTGGGTGATGGGCTGACTCCATGTTGAACTCTCCAGGTCCAGAACGTGGACGTGGTTGTTCCAGCCTCGCCCAGGGCTGTCCCACTGCACCAATGAAATAAAAGAGACGTGTCAATATTTAAACACAAATCCTGCAAAGAAATTTGTTTCTGATTTTATATTTCTAAATAAAACCACCTAGAACCGATTATTAAAAGAGAAGATAAATTATCACATTGATGACTTCCATAAACCAGAAGCAATATTAAACAGACCATCAGAGAGGATGATTCGTCGTAGTGAAAAGTCCCTCGATGAGATCCTTGTGGCGCATAGCCGTACCCGCCAAAGAAAATCAATCTGGAAATGGAAACAATCACATCATTAAAAGAAAAATCTGATTTATTAACCTGCTGTTTTATGTTATTCCTTCATCAGAATCAGACAGGAAGTGGGATTTCACTTGATTTATAACTTGGTGTCTTGTAAAACAATGTCCGCTCTGACCCCTAACACAGGGGTCAACAACCCAACATGCTGCTGCCATCAACACCTTAGTTTATAGATTGTTTTTCAGTGTAGTCCTGTTTCTCTGACTGTGACTAACTGGATGTGTTCTCTTCATCCTCTGACATGGGAGCTGGCTCGGAGCTCGTCTGCCTGGCTGTTTGTTTCCTGGACGGGGACGCCTTTTACAGTTGCCTTTTGTATCTATGCTTCTTTTTCTATGTCTGCTTCTGTCCCCTTGAACCCCAGTGGGCCTCAGCAGATGGCCGCTCACACTGAGCCTGGTTCTGCTGGAGGTTTGTTCCTGTTAAAAGGGAGTTTTTCCTCTCCACTGTCGCTACAAGCATGCTTAGTGTGAGGGATTGCTGAAGAGTCGATGCAATCAGCTGGTTTTCCTTAGATAGAAAACTTCGAATCAATCTGACTGGATGATCCGATGAACTGTGAAGTACCATGAGATGACATGTGTTGTAAATTAGCGCTATAGAAATAAACTGAATTAAATAATGGAGCCAAAAAACAAACAAAAAAACAGATCCTTCTGGAGCCGCAAAAATGTTAAAGTCTAATATAAGCCTCCTAAGGGCTCTATATGTAATTAGCCCAATTTAAAAATGACTAATTAGGCTTAAATACATAATAGTCATTCATGATTAAATGTTTATTTTCCCTGCAGGAAAATTAAACCATATGACTAATCTGCTGTATATTTGGTGCTTTAGGTTCACTTACATTAAAGTATTAGTGTATTATGATTTCATGCATGGATGGAATTATAGGAATGAAATAAAGAAATTAGATTTTCTGTGTTATTTTTTAATTTGAAGATTTGGGGAAAAAAAAAGGAAACGTGCGTAACAGGACTCCTGTAATTTCAAACATCCACGTGGAAATAAGAAGCAGTCCTCTTCAAACCACAGTAACAATACAATCCTATTTCCCCCTCATTGGGGAAACAGTAAAATAAACCATGGAAATGAGAATAAGCAGATATAATTTAATTACAGTGTACACAGCGTTTTGTTTACAACAGCCTCCTGCCTGGCAACACACTGCGCTGAAACGTGCGTCACAGGTTATGATGCAGATCTTTGTTGATAGAAATGTTTAAATTTATTTATTATACTATTTTTTACAACAGTGGAAAACAAAAAGAATGTTTGTTTGTCCTCCTTAAACTACATTAAAACAAAGAGACAAAACAAATCAATTATTTTCCATATCTTGTACTCCCTTGCGGCTCTTAAGAGCCGCAGGTTGCTGACCACCTGCACTAGAAATTTGAACATTCAACCATATAGCTCTAAGGAGGTTATTTAATCCATATACAGTATGAAGTGTTACTTAAAGAGTTTGTCCCAAGCAATCTCTTCTCAGGAAAAGAACGAAGAGAGAAAGCTTCAAGGTGTTGACACAGAGCTTTCCATATCACTTGAAAACAGGTTCTCTCCACTCGGAGTCTCTATAAATGTTCATAGCTGGTAGAGACAAAGCAGCTGGAGCTCTGTCTGCATCTGGATGCTTCTACCGAGTATAACTAATTACAGTCACATTTTTATCATTATTTTAGTTTAGTTTTATGGTTAACATTATCGTTAACCATAAAACTTTCTTTTACGGCACAATTATGCAATACTAGCAGCTGGTCAACCAGTGAAAGCCATTAAAGGCGCCGTGTGTGTAACCAGAAAGGTATTGCTTTAATAAATACATATTTTGTAAAAGTCTAACGGCATCACATTAAAAATAAAAGTTTTTATAGCTTAGAATTAGTAGTTTATAAATACATAAGGGGCGGTGCATTCAATTTGTCTGCATATTTCATTAGAGTAGCTGAGAACATGTTGGTGGAGGAGGAGTTTAAAACAAACAAAAACAAACGTAGATCATTTTACCTTCTACCATCCAGCTAATATTAGCTTTTTAGACATTTTATGCTATCTGTACCATCTGTAAGCTTGGTCCAATGAAAGGAGAGAGAAGCAACCCAAGCACACTGGACAGGTACCAGTCTGTGTAATTCATTCAATGCACCACTAGATGGAGCTAAATGCCTTTAAGTTGATAACGTGGCCAAATGGTGAAAGGTTGTTCAAGAATAAAAGCTTCACCTGTTCTTATGGACCCAGCATCCCAGCTTGTCCTTGGAGGATGGGGGGAGTCCTTTAAGATCCCTCATTTCCTCCCACACCAGACTGGGGGCCCTCAGAGGCAGACGGTAGATCTTAGATAGAGAGCATGAAAGGCCATCAGAACAAATGGAGCAAATCATCTTCCATTACTTTTGCAAACTGTAAAAATTGTTTAATAAAAAGCTGTTGAGAGTAGCTCAGATTTTATTTCTTCAAATTACTTTTTTGCTTTTTTATATTCAATATTCATATAACTCCTGGGGGCGGGATTTCCTCTGGAGTGAGAACACATTTCAATCAGCAACAATATGTTTATTGGTCAAGAGAGAGTTTGTTTTGGGTTTGAAGTAAAGAAAATGTGCAAAAAACTGAGAAGAATGCTAATTTGTAAAAGACAGTCTGAAAAAGTTTAAAAAAGACATACATTTGGAATATGTATGTCTTTTTCATTCAAAGAAAATCTTTGAAAACA